CTCTCTCTCTCTCTCTCTCTCTCTCCTTGTGCTCTCTCTCCCTGCCAATCTTGTCTATGATGGTATCAGATGGGTTCCAAAAAAGCTTGTTTATCATGGTATCATACGGGTTCCAAAACCGTAGATCTTCACCCTTCAAGCATCTTCACATGATGTCTTCCTTCAATCTTCTTCCAGCAGAAACAACAGCCATCTTCTTCGACCTTCTCCAAGAAAACAGCAATCACCCTTCGCCGCACAAACCCTAACACATGGTTCTATGTCTCCTTTGTCTTTACTTTTTTTTAAAAATCCTAATTTTCTATCTGCACACTTCTTTATTCTATTTCTTTAATATTTATCTTCAAAACCCTAGTTCTCTTCTATTAAAACTCTATAATCTCTCTAAAGAACTCTTTCTTTTATCTCTCTAGTTTTCTTCTAGTTCTCTTCTCTTTTGGGGTTTCATATTCTTATTCATACATATATGTTCTCCATCACAAAATTGTGCAAAGTTCCCAAAATCTTTCCATCTTCCCTTAAAAAAGAACCCTGATTTTCTATTATTTCTGACTCTAGGGCATTGTATGCCCACATCTCTTGGCATTACTTGCCCAATTTTCTCTGGCTAGGCCATGTGGCGCCTTGCTGTCCAGCAGCTCCTTCCTTTCTGACGCCCCAAGAAAGCTATGTACTACCCCTATGAAGTTCTGTACATATTGTACAATAATCACATTTTTTTAGCGCATTCATCCGGAAGGTTCTAGAGAAATCTAAAGAAATCATGGGAGGTCTAGAATGCTTCTAGATTCATCCTAAGTAAATGGCTGAAAAGTGTTCTCTAGAATATTGTATGATTAGAGTATTCTTAACCGTTGGATTAGTAACATTTGTACATATCTAGACCATTAAATGTAAGGCTAATTGCCTATATAAGGAGGACTACTCATTTCGGAGGCTTCTTAGAGAGTTGTAAACATTTGAACATTGTAGTGAACACAAGTTCTTTCCATTCCATCGTCTCTCTCTCTCTTGTGTGTGTTAGTCACCTTTTGTGCTCGTGGTTACTTTTGTATGGGTTGGCTAACTTGTCCTTCAAGGATTGAATGTGCGAGTACCGCATGGTTGAAGCACGAGGCTTTACTAAGGCCATGACAAGTGGCATCAGAGCAAGGCTCGTGGGGGCTATTACACTTGTGGGTTAAGAGGGAGCAACATGATCTGGTCTGCCACAAATGAAACACTTTACATTTTCTGACTTGCACATGTCCTGTTTATCCTTGTCACTTTTGCCTCCTTTGCCATCTTTCCTGCTTGAGGGCTTGCGAGGCCCTTATTTATGGCTGGAGACTCTCTCGGTGTCCCCATCGCCTTGGCTACTCTTGAAAGGTCATTGTTTAGAGTAGTCATTCTTTCTAAATTCCACCAACAATTCGGCCATAGCCATGGCCAATGCAAGGTCTCGCACGCCACGATATTTGAGCTCTTGTTCGGCCCATAGTTGCAACCATCCATGTAATTAAAGAATAGTTCCTTTTCGGCCATGTTTGGAATAATATCCAACATAAGGGTGGAGAACTCCTTGACATAGTTGTGAATCAAACCAGTATGCCTCAATTGTTTTGAGTTTTTACAGGCTAAATATTCGACATTCTTAAAACTTGAAAGTAAGATTATGTGGCCAGGGCAAGTGTATAATGATTAAATTTTTTCTTTCTTTTTCTTTATTTTGACCACTTGGATCACTTAACAAGTGTTCAAATACAATATATGAATCAATAAAAACACAAAGAATGCCAATGGCTCTCACTTGCTTGCCATCAAAACAAAAGAACTCATTCATAGCATGAATATGAAAATTACATAATGCTTGGAATGAAATCAAGAAAGCATGAAATAAAGCAATACCGCGTACCTTGCCTCAGGTTACCCCCAAGGGCTTCGTACACCCTCACGCCGGGTCTCCTCCACCAATGGCTCATGGGATCTAGGTGGAAAATTTTCTCATAACTTTGGAAAGCCTAGGCAAAACCTCTAGAGAGCATGACATGGGATAGGGCTAGACCAAGGCTCAACACATTCACATAACTCAAACTATATGGGTTAGGATGTACCACCTCTTGTGGCTTGGGCGTGCCAACCCCCTTAGGGTTTCTTTTTCTTCTTAAACCCTAAATTAGAGAGAGAGATATTAGAGAGGGGTGTGCCAGCCCTATGGTTCAAAGAGAGAGAGAGCGACTAAGTCCAATTGTATAAAATAAATCCTCCCATAGATAGTATATAACATAGAGGCTAGGGTTTTTTCATCATTATGAGATTCAACCTTGACCTTTGATCATGGAGACCTGTGAGGTGAAGAGATCTCATCCATTCATTCCTTAGATCAGCTATCATAATTAAACAGAATGGGGTAGAACCATTATCCCTCAGTTTTCATAACTCTATTCTCATTAAAATATTGTGCAGAGAAAATACTATCTTTATGCAAATCAATGTCAATTATTTCTTATACTTTCCCATTCTAAATAAATCAAAATCTCTAGAAAACACTTGCCATAAGTTTCAAACAAGGCGCATGGCTTTTTCACAAGCCACCAAAATAGGAAAGAAAGGGGAAAATGGGGTGTCCCACTCATGTGAGGCCCTTGTGGGCCCCACACCCCCACATGTGGTGGGCTCAAAAATGATCCCAATTGGCTCTCAACATAATAGACAACATTTTAAGATATTAAAATAAATTTTATAAAGCCACTAAAGATTTTATTTTCCTCTAATTAAAATAAATCCAGAAATTGATTTTTTCATACTTAAAAATTATTTTTTAATAAATACTCAGAGAGATCTAAAAAATAATTTTAATTATTCAGAGTTAGGAATATAACAAATATATTGAGGACTCCATCCTTTCTAGAAACTGTATCTCACTGCACCTTCTCAAATTGGCGCAATAGTTCCCATAACGCATAATTCTTCTCAGGAGTTCATGATTAGACTATCAAATGCAGCTAATAAATGAAGGAGACATGATCCTAGTACATGGATTACAAATTCCTCCTTGAGGACAAGTCTAGGCACTATTCCAGCCTATGCTCCATGGGTCTTTCCAATACAGTCTAGTATTGCAAGGAGTCATTTCTTCGTCACATGTACACAATACACACCCTTAAAGGCCACAAACCCCAACAACAACCAGCCTTGATTGTTATCCATGAAACCACTCTGACAGATGCATCTTGGGAATCAAATCCTGAAATCAAGTTGTGGGGAGGAGCCTACTCTGTAAAGTGAAAGCTAGAATCTAACAGTACTCTAAGACACTCTGCCAGCTCATTGTAAGTCACATGAGCTGCTAACCAAACCTGCCCACAGTGACATGCCACATACTACTTGTAAATAACACAAGGCCTAATGTTCCCAATAAAATTAAGAACATTATAAAAACATGAGTACTCACAATTAGCTGGAGTAAATAAACCTAAAATCCAAAACCCAAAATGCTAGTCCAATGATAAAATTCTTAAGTACTCACTTACTATGGAAGATTATTTATATTCGTTATGGCATTAAATAAAAGATCGTTGTATAATCTTCTTGACAATAGAGAGAACAACAATATGTGGAAGAGAAAAGAATATTTTAGTTGCTCTAAATGCTTGTTGATTACGTCCTTACATCTCTAACACGTACAGGTGGATAACAAATAGCACGTTGAACTCTAGTAGCAATAAATGAGAAGTGGAAAAGAGGTTATTCTATCTACAGAAAGTCTATTATGAGCTGTCCCTGATAGGATCTCAAGTCTTTCTAAGTATCAGACAGTTATGGGATGCTTTCATCATTTTTGATCTGTAGGTTCTCATACTAAATGTGTGCGAATATATTGATAACCAATAAAGGAAGTTATGACATCTGTAGATCACTCATGCTTGGCCATTTTTGCTCAGCAAGTTCTCATATTAAATGTGTGTGAATACTATCGTGATAAACAGTAAAGTTATGACTTCTGTAGACCACTGATATTACATAAAGGGAGTCGATTCTGTCAGCCACGGGTTGACTGGGCTGATCTGACGGTTACAATCACATTTCGTATTTGAATTTTCATTTTTTATCTACAAATCCAAATCACTTGAAATTTTAGTTGTTCTTTCTTCGCATCAAGGCGTACTTAATAAAAATATAAAACAAACAATTCCCAAAATATAAATTGACCCCAAAATATTTCGAGGGTATTTTTGTCAATTTATATTTTTCTAATTATTTTTTTTATTTTTATTAGAATCTTCTATATTTGAAGAATTGATGTTCCAAATTTCAAGTGATTTAGATTTATAGAAAAAAAATGAAAATTCAAACATGAAATGAGGTCATGACCATCAGATTGGCTCAGATTTCATCTGAGCCATTGGTTGACACTGTAGCTATCAGCCCCTCGGCTGACAGGATTTTTTCCCTCACATAAATGGTTAATAGTTGACACTAAACAAAAGTGTGCTTAAAGGAATGTACATAGTTCTTCATTAACTGTGCATTCCCTTGCCAAATGATGGTTAAATTTAGCTGCTTCGTTAGCTCGTTGGAAAGTAGATAAGAGGTAACGTGTATGGCAGGGTAAGGCACATATGAATGTGGCAACTAAATGCCATTTCCTTCATGAATGCCTTAAGCCAGATAGCACAGGTGGAGTAAGCCATTTCCTGTGGACTGCTACTGCATTCGACCTTACATCCAGTTGTTGCTTCTTATGACTACATGTCATTAGCTATCGATAAACGTATTTTGCACATTTTTCAAGCATCTACATGTTAATTCCCACTCTCGAAAACTATAAATACTAACTGCTAAAGAATGTCAACTTGTCAAGAACCCTACCTTCTTGACATGGATTATATAGTAGGTGTCTTTCAGGACCCGGGGGGGGGGGGGGGGATTGGCGGTGGGGGGAAGAATGGGGTGGAAGAGTGGACCTGCATTCCAGCTGAGAGGGGTATCTGTAGCTGTATGGTGTTTATACTTGGGCTAAAGGGGCATAACTGTCCTTGTCTCATTTGAGTCTTCTATGTTTCACCGGATGTAGCGAGTTGGACATAGGATGTGATATTCTGATTAGAGGGATGGTTTTCATCCAATATGAAGCTCTTACTTTCTGCAAAGAATCCTAAAGGGGAGAATGTCGATGTGAAATTGCAGCACCTCTTGAAAGTGCTCTCTTGAAAATTTTAAAATTCTAAAAAATATACAAATTTAACACATTTAGTTGAAAACAATATTTCCGGAGTTTAACAAAAATTTAAAACATATAGAAATACAATTAGAAGTGGATATGTACCCTTATAGGTAAAAAAAAAAGTGAGGATTAGGGCACTCCACCCATGCTAGTATCCATGATCTACTACTGTCTTCTCAAACCAACCCAATGCGATCCATGACCTAAAGTCAAGGGTAGGGGCTTATGATTGGCCCGTCAAAGTTAGCCAACAAACGAACCATCGTCCCAGTAAGTGGTTTACAAGTTCCTCCCCCAAGAGCAAGTCATATGCACACATCACAATAGTGCAAGGGGGTGCTTTCTTGATGCACATGTACATATGTTCCTCTATATAGGGTTGCTTCCCAAGATGCTATTGTCAATATGTACATGACGTGTAAAAGTTTTGTTGAGGGTTTGGCCATTGGCCCCTCATTCCCTTCCTCTACACACAAGAGACCACACAACTCACTTAGCCTACAAAAATGTCCTTGGGTATCTCTCTGACCTCAACAAGGGATGACCCACAGTAAAGACTCGATGGTAGTGACCCACAGTAAAGACTCGATGGTAGTGCCACATGCTTAGGGATAAGGGTTTTGGACATGACCCGGGCTGTAGACCGCTTAATCCTAGGTCAGTCAGCCACAGTACACTCCCACTGAAGTGCATAGCCACAGCACACTGCCACTGAAGTACACAAATCACTATAAGTAATCGTATTTACAGGCTCTCTTAGGCCTTTACAGGCCACAAACCCCAACAATACTTATTTCCCCTCATTAATACAGTGGGTGAGAGGTCCTCTCAAACCCCTTGCTGACTTAGCAAGGAAAAGAACGTATTTTTTTCTCTGGTCATCTTATCTTTGTTAGGTCATTGAAATCACGGTTTTACTTCTTGTCGCTTTTGTTAGTGATGACGCCTGAAGTTGGTTTGACATTTATATCCATGATGCAATGTAATGATGTTTGTTGGAGCAGGTGGGTGGATAGCATTCTTGAAGCCTTGAGAATCCATGATTTACCTCCAAAGGTCTGTATCAAATATTGTGAATTTGATAAATGTGCAATGAATCTTATAGTTATTCTGAGCTTGATATCTTGCACCATGACTTTTGACTGGTTTTCCTTATTGCCACATTCCTTATTCGTCTTTGCAGGCAATGATTGGTTAACAAGAGAAGCTGTGGGAGAAACAACACGTCCTCTCATGGTACTATTCTTGGCAATGTGCATCCCTTGTTCGCTTTTCCATATAACCTTGATTTTCTTGATTAGATTGCATTGTCCTTTGATACTACTTCTGAAAACTCGTTATGTACTTATTGATATTCCCAGCCAATATCCAGTAACATAAAACATAAAGCAGTCTATTTCATCATTGCTTGGCCTCATATCCGCTACTGCAACTTGAATATGTATCGAAAATACAAGGATATATTGTTGAGAGAAAATATCATCAAAATGGCAAACTATTAGAGTGCAATGAAGGGTAGTTCTATAGTTTGTGTGTATTTTAAGTGGTTTATATTGTAAAGTTATTTGCTATTGGGCCTGGTGTGTGTTTCATTGTAGAATAGTGTGTGCCTCTTTTGCTTCCTCTTCTCTATGTTCGTAATGGTATCAGAGCAAGGTTTGAATATGCTGTCGGTGTTATCAACTCTAATCAATGTGACCCATATTTTCCTCCTCTTGAAGATTCATTATCTCTTTTTCTTCTAAATCGTAATGTTTCTTTGTTCATCTTTCCCCTCGTTCATCATTCTCATCGCTCTTTCCTAAACCCTAATCTTTCTCTTTTATTTCCTCCATAATAAGGGCACCCACCATTCATGCTTCTGTTCATTCCACTGTTTATATTATTGTTCATGCTACTGTTCTTTCTTTCAAAGCCTCATATTTCAGCAACAAAACTCTCGACTCTCATTGAATATAAAACTCTACATCTTGTTTGAAATCTATAATATTGCTCTTCATAACCTATTTCTTTCTATTAAAAAATAAAAATAAATCCTAACTATTGTTCTCATTTTCGGTTCTTGAAATCTAGTCCAAACTCTAACTACTTTCCTCTCTTGCTTGTCAAAACTTAACTAATCGTTTCTTTCCCTGCTTTCTTCTTCCTTGAAATCTCTCGCTCCTTTGGTCCGTCATATTCTATTAACTATGGCTTTGGGTATCTTCTTCTACTTCTATTGGTCTTCCTAATCGTCAATACATACATGTTAACTCAATGCCTCGAACTAATTTGCTTGGAAAGGCTTAGTTCTAACTTATATAAGAGTTCAACGGTTATTGGGCACATTGATGGTTCACACATTGATAGTTCATCAGCCGCTGGTGAAGTTTCTTACAAAGGAAGATATTTGTGAAGATGGAACAACTAAGAAAATTGTTCAATCAACCTTGCTATTGAATTTCTAAGGACCAAAATGTCGTGGGTTGGATTTGTTCCACCCTTTTGGAGGGACTTATTCCTCAAGTACTTAATTTACCAACTGCTGCAACAGTATGGGAGGCCTTTTATGACTTGTTGTCCCAAGAAGCAGATGCCCTAAGTATGCATCTGCGATGTGAGCTTAATGCTTGTAAAAGAACTAATATGTTAGCCCCGAAATTCTATAACAAGATAAAAGCCTTATATAATCCGCTTGCTATGGTGCAAGATCCTCTAAATTAAAAGGACTAGGTCCATTATGTTTTGAGAGGTTTATGGGATGACTATAAAGTGCTTGTTTCCTTTGTGGTGCTGAAAATTTTATTTCCCTTGTTTAGTGAATTGCAGTCATTATTGTTGCTACATGAAGCATTTTTTAACCTCAAATCTGCATTGGAAAGTCTTCTACTATCGATTCTCATCCTGTTTTATTGTCAAATGGTATTTCAAATATTAATACAGGGTGAAATTCAAATCATGGTGGAAGCATCAGAGGACTTGGAGGTCGAGGTGGAAGAACTAAGTTTCATCCTAATCAATGTCATGGTTTGCTACCTGCTCCTTCAATAGGACCATCTGTCTCTTCATATGGTGATGTTTGTGAAATATGTAGAGAATAATATAGCCATTAACTGCTTTGATCGTAATAAAACCTATCTAGTTGAAAGTCAAGTTGCTGCTCCAAATCATTCTCTAGATGATTAGATATCATGTCACCTATATAGACAGGTTGTGGATGGTGGTGCTGCAGATCATGTTTTAGGTGATAGGGGTATGTTACTCATCCCTAATTCCCTGCTCTAGCAGTGGCTCTATTGTGATCATGTGGAACCTCCCTCAATATCACTCATGGAGGAATTGTCATAGTTCACTCCTCCTTTGGTGTCCCTAAGATGTGTTCGAAATTTTATTTCAGTTTCTCATTTAGCCCGAGAAAATTCTATTTCATGTGTTATTTGATGCAAATTTTGTTTTCTGAATTGACAAAAATCCAGGATATTGTACGTAAAGGTCTGGTAGGGCACGGCTCTATATTATCTATGATAATGTCAAGAAGAAACTCCCATTGTTCGTTCTTTTCTTATCTTAGTGTCAATAAAGATGCCAGTGTTTGGCGTCATCGTTTAGATCAATGCAGTCCTGAGTCTGAATAAATTATGTAAAGAGGGCATAATTCCCTCCAATCTTGAGATTCAACTTCGCTACATCTTTATCAACAAAAAAGGGTGTCTCATCGACAACTTGATTAATGCATCGACTATGAATTTCATGATGCAATGTCACTTCCTGTTTACCTGAATCACCTGCATCCACAAAACATGGAGGCATATACATCCTCGCAAAGGGTACATGTATCGAGATAAAAAACACTTTTCTATCTAGGACGATAACACTTGTATCACTTGTATCCATCAGCATACCTTGTAGAAAAACAAATGGTTGCCTTTGGGGACAACATATGAAACATTTAGTCATGTTGTTAAGATAATGATAGTTCAGGAGGTTATTTCCCTTGCTGAATCCTATGTTTGGTCTCTTTTTCAATTGGATGTTAAGAATGCCTTTTTGCATGGAAAGTTGGTTGAAGAGGTCTACATGGAACAACCACCAGGTTTTCATGAAGCCAAACCAGAGACTCATATTTGCAGGTTCAAAAGATCTATATATGGGTTAAAACAAGCTCCAAGAACATGGTCTCAGTGTTTTTAGAAGGTATTAAAGGAAAGGGTTTCATCAGGGTAGCATCAGTTTATTCATTGTTTATTCGTCACAACAAGTATATTATTATTCTGGTTTATGCTGATGACATTATAATACTGGGAGTTCTATAAACGTGATTGATAGTGTTAATGATTTTTTGCATGATAGATATATAATGATTAAGGATATTTGAAGGACATCCTTCAGATAATCTAGAGTGATACAAAAGTTTAGTGGGATCATTATTGTATCTCACTCTCACCAGGTTTGATATATCACCAAGTATGTCATTTTATGCTTGGTTTCGGCATATGCCCATCAAGGTATGCAGGGATGCTCTCACTGATACTCATATAGAAGCGCTGAAGAGAATAATCAAATATGTAGAAGGAATAGTGAATCAAAGGCTGCTTATGAAAGAAATAATGAGAATAAATTGAATATTGCTTTAATAGTTGGGTACTCTGATGCAAACTGGGCAAGAGATCTAGACTCTTTCTTGGTAGAAATCTGATTTCATGGAGTAAGAAATAGAAAATTATTGCGAGGTCTAATACTAAGGCTCAATATCGAGCCCTTGCAGGTGTAATTTTTGAGATTCATGGATATTAAGAATCTTTTCTTTTCTTGGAACAAAAAAAATGCAAATCAACAGTTTTCTGTGACAAGGGTGATCTGGCAATTTCAGCAAATCCTGTATTTCATGATTGCACTAAACATATCCAGATAGATTCCCATTTTGTTCATTAGAAAAGTGAAGCCGATGTGATAGATGTGCACTTTATTGGGACCTAAAACCAAATAGTTGATATCTTCACCAAAGGGCTTACAAAAGATAGACATCATTTCTTAGAGAACAAGTTGTACATGTTCGATAATGATGTACAACTTGAGGGGGATTATTAGAATGCAATGAAGGGCAGTTCCATAATTTGTGTGTATTTTAAGTGGTTCATATTGTAAAGTCATTTGCTATAATGTGTAAGGGAAAATCTGTCCTTACTCAAGTTGTAACAATAGATATAAGGTTGGACGTGGTGTGTGTTTTCATGGTAGAATAGTGTGTGCTTCTTTTCTCTCTTCCTCACCATGTTTTTCACAAACCACCTCAAAATTTCTTTGAGGTAGTTAAATTAACCAATTTATAAATAAAGCAGTTACTTTTAAAAGGATCATTCCATTCCATGATCCCCTGAACTTTGTTAAAAAATATCTAAAGTTCCCATGTTTGCGATTTGCAATCTTAACGATCATAGATATTTTGGTAAGTAACCTACTTAAGTGGTCCAATCCAAATGATTGAAATACCCTACATGTTCTAGGCTCTGGAACTATAATATCATCATCATCATTATCATCAGAGCCTTTTTCCAACTATTTGAGGTCAACTACATAAATCTTGGTCTACCATTCTGCTCTATCAAGGGCCATACCCTCTGTGAGGCCATAAGTCGCTCTATCTTTTCTTAATACTCCCAGCCATGTCATTTTAGGCTTACCCCTTACCCTTCCGAAACTAGAATTTATTCTTTCATTTGAATGTATTGTAAACGAGCAGGGTTATTTATGTCAATTAGCTTAAGTGGAGAACAATATGATGAATCACCACCGATTATATTGGATTTGGAATCAAGAACGTGTCAACAAAATCGTTCATTACAATTTGAAATCCTGAACCAAGTGGGGCATTTTAGTTTTCCCACTTGTGTCATGGACCAAATTATCAAAATACCTTTACTTGTCTAGGATGCCAAACCAAACAAGGGAATTTGGGGCATTTTTCAACAAAATAAACGAGGTGGTAATTGAGTGAAATGTGCTTATTATGGTAACTACTTTATTGATTTGGTCCCCTCGATGATTTTTCTTTGAGGTGGTTTTATCCATTTTAATGATATTTACCCTCCTATTGATTAGTCTATTTGATGAGCGAGTATATTATAATCCACACACTTTGGGATGGGCCATCACAATCCATTGTAATGATGGACAGTGATGGAACGAGAGTGGGACCATTGCTGGGATCATGTGCTGTTTTTTATTTGCTCATGTGGGATCTAATCTTGCTCTGGTGGGCACTGCTCCACCACCATCATTCTTTTCAATGAATGGCAATTGCCCGACAATGATTTTCTCTTCAGAATTAATATGCTTTCCCTTGTGCCATTGTACTATTAATACCGTTAATGCTTCACGTGAACTTGGACAATTAATAGCTGAAGGACGTATGGATTCCAGTAGAAATAGTAGCCACATATTTGAAATGGTGTTGGGTTGGCACCTATGTAGCTTGAAACTTAACGACTTGTTTGGAAAATCATGCAATCCTACACTATGAGTGGGGATTAGTAGGAATCAAAGGTGGGGATTAGTAGGAAACTTGTTCCTCCTTAAATCTGTTTTGCTTGCCTTCTTGTTCCTCTCTCTCTCTCTCTGTCTCTCTCTTACTTTTTTCGCCCCTTGCATTTGATCCCACAACCTGCCAAACAAGTTTTGACCCTCATGAGATCTCCCCTACATTTTCTTTTCGAACAGTAACAGCACATTTTATTTCACAAACTATCAAGCACAAAGCTTTGAAACAGAAACATCTCTTCTTTCTATATCCTACAACAAACTTTACAGTCTATATTAAGCTAGTTACAATTAAATTTGGACTAACTGTCACCTTGTCTTGCTAAAGTGTCAGCTTCTTTATTCTTCTCCCCATATACATGAACAAAATCTAACTCTTTCCCCCCTGTATAAATCTTTAATTTCATTCAAAATTTACTTCATTTTCCATGGCATTAATTGATTTCATTTATATCATGTTAGTGAATTCATGGAATCTCCTACCACTACTATCCTCTATGTAGCATCTCCAATTAACTTCGGACCTTGCACCACTGATCTCAATTTTGCTTCATTTGCAGTAGCTATACCAATAGGCACATGGTATGTTAGCCCCTAGATAATCCTATCTATACCACCAGTCCTGCATGCCTTGGATTACACAAGAAATACCATCAAAATTCAGTGTAATGGATCCTTCTATTGGTAATTCCCACTTTGATTCCCTTATTTGTTTTACTTTCTCAATTTTTACAACTTCAGCTATTTTATATAACAAATCCTCTCTTCTTATCCCCAGCATTCTTTCCTTGTCAGAACCTAATCAACCACTGTGTTTCTTATTTTCTCTTTGAATCTTCCAAGTTCCATTACTTGCTCTTTAAGGATTCTTTGATTTCTTACTTTCCAAATCTCCCAAAGAATGCACATCTTAGACATTTTCAAACTACAGTCTGGATTTCAGGAAATGTTATATTCATTTGCACCATGATTTGTGTCGCTTCCTTAGGCAGCGGAATGTGAGCATTAGTTTCCTGTAAAACCCAGACCACAGTTTGACCTTTACATTGATATCTTACAAAGATGTGGTCTCTTGTCTTCATCATATTTGCATAACATGCACAAATTTGTGATTTTCTTACCTCTTCTTCTAAGCATATCTTTTCTTAACAATTTTCCAAGACACAATAGCAACATAAATGCTTGAATTTTGTGGAACTGGAAGCTTCAATACCTTTGCACATTTGAATTTCTCCACTTTTCTCTATCATTAAATAAGAGATTATATAATAGCCGTACCAAAAATGCTCTTTCAAGTGACAGTTCCCATATGGTCTCATCATCCCCATTTGGGCTATAATAATGCTTCTGCAACGTATCTTGAATCTGAATTACTGCATTATTACCACATATTAATGTCTAATTAGTCTACAAATGATCTTCCAATAAGGATTCTATCCTATTCTTGGCACATCTATCACCTTTTCATTCTTATAATCCACTTTCTAATG